CGTTTCCTTTGTTGTAGGATTTTATCACGAGTGGTACGATATTCAAGAGCAAATTCATTAACCATTTTAAAAACAATCATTGGTTTTAATGTTGGTACTTCTTGAATACTGTAGCCAAAAAAGAGCAAAAATGCATGCCATCTGGAAAAGAAATATTTTAATTGATTTAATTAATTAATAAAAAAAGATGAATTTTAACAAATAAATTTCTTTATTATTGAGAAATATTTTATATAAATATTTTGTAAGCAAACAGTTTCACATAATAAGTATGATTAAATTTCGATGTGATACTAAAAAATCATCCATCTTTGTCCTAATGGTTCATGTGAATAAATTAAACTTCGATAAGATATCACAAAATTTACCTTTACTCTAATGGTTCACGTGTTATTATAAAATTTACCCTTACTCTAATGATTCACGTGTTACCACAAAACTTACCCTTACTCTAACAATTTACATGTTACCATAAAACTTACCCTTACTCTAATAATTTACATGTTACCATAAAACTTACCCTTACTCTAATAGTTCACATGTTACCATAAAATTTACCTTTGTCCATGTTAACAAATTAAATCTCGATAAGGTACCATAAAATTTACCCTTATCCTAATGGTTCACATGAATAAATTAAATTTCAATAAGATACCATAAAATTCATTTTAGCCTCAATGATAGCAAGAATGGAATGATAGAAATGATTAGATATCAATGAATATTAATATTTTATCTATCAATTATATTAGTCAATTATAAAAACACATTATCATTTCAGGTATTTACTATTAACCTGTTAAAAGCAATCCTATAGATGGCTTTAAGTTGATGAATTCGTTGTGCTACATCATTTAAATAATCGTTTATCTTTTGTTTCATCGATGATGAACTATCATTTTTGCTAATTTTAGCCAAATAACCCCATGATGCTTTACAATCATGTTCCAGTTTCTTTAAATTTGATTCCAATTCATCGTAATCAAACTAAAATAAACAAAAAAGTTCAAATTTCAATTAAATTTAAATTAATTTATTACATAAGACAATTCATATCCAACCTAGAAATTTTATTCAATTTTAATTTCAAATAAATTTCATATCAATTTTACATTTCAATATAAAATTTTAAAAGATAATATATTTTTTTTTAAAAAAAAGAAAAAAGAAAGATGAAAATTTCACCCTAGCCGTACGAGCAACAGCACCAAATTCGGAATATAAATCGGTTCCATCCGGACAATGCTCAATCATATATTCAGCTAAATGATATGTTAACGTATGCTTGTAAACCGGATCCTTTACTTCGGATGCTTTACTTAAATAATCCAATTGAAAACCTTTGATCTGTAAAAAAAAAAGAAAAAACGATTGATGTTAAATATGAAATTTACGGAAACGTAAACGATCCAAGAAATTTTTAGTAGGAAAGAAAAAAAACTAAATGAGATTTCTCGTTTACCAAAAAATTTCATGACCGTAAAATATTCAAGATGAATAATAAGATCAGGAATTCCGGAAAGTAGTAATGAGAAAAAATTCCCGCTCTTCCTCAAATCATTGCAATTTTCCCTTTTTTTTTCTCTCTCTCTCTCTCTCTCTTAATCTTTAATTTTTTATTAAAATTAAATTACATTCGTTCCATTCAACGTATTTCCAATGATTAGTAGCATTCCCATAGCGGTACGGAATGTTTTCGATTCTTCAACTTCTTTCATTGCTAATTGTAAATCCATTAATGGTTCCGCGATATCCTGGAGAACAAAAAAAAAAAAAAAATTAACGCGAAATTTTAAAAAATTCAATAATAAAATTATACTCCAACTTGCGGATAAATGATGAATGGAAAAAGCGGAAAAAAAAGAAAAGAAAAAAAAATTACAAAATACAAAATGTAAATTAAATTACTTGTAAGTAGTCAATTAAAGTAATTAATTAACTTCGTGCAAATTTTTCCTTTTTATTGCGCAAAAAAAAAAGAAGAGCAAAGATCACTCTGATGACTGTAAAAACTCTTAAATTCATGCAAAATTTCCAGAAATTTTATGAATTATGCAAGAGAAAAATGAAAAAAACAAAAACAAAAAAAAAAAAGAAAACAAATTCCGCACCTTTTCACAATTTTTATAATCCAATGTAAATACCCAAAGCCTAAGCCTTTCTAGTAGGCATGGTATTTGCGAGAGTTTAAGAAGAAATTGTTCCGCTTGACCTAGCGGCATATCCGGATGTTCCGCAATTTTCAATTCAATTTGCTCAATTTCCGCTGGATTTGGCATCATTGTAGTGAGTATTTTTTCAATACCTTCTTTGTTTAATACCAATGAATCAAATTTCTAAAATTTCCTTCAACATTTATGTATATTTGTTAGAAGAAATAAAAAAAAAAAAAAGAAATGAAATAAGAAGTGTAATGATAATTGATAAAAGATATGATATCATCACCATGATAGCGGTTGGTATAACACTTATTGGTGGTAATTTTGTTAATCCAATATTGATAGCCTGAGATCGTTTTAATGGTAATACCTGAAGAATTTGCGCTCGATGTTCACCATTAAGTCGCTGAAATATTACATAAAATATTATTTTTAACAATCATTTCTTCTTGAAATTAATTAAAAATTGATAACAATGAAGGAGGCGGAAAATGTGCGTAATATTATTTTAAAAATAATGCGGAAATATTCAACCGGATAATTAATTGCATTCATTATAGAACCGGAATATTCAACCGTAATTGGTTGAAAATTCAGGATATACCATAATTTTTGGAAGAAATTACAAATTTTTGAATTTTCGAAAGTTAAAATTTAGAATAATGGTGCTAAATTTTTGGCTACATTTAATGAATTAATTAATTCTAAAAGTTATATCTATTAAAAAATGGGAATGAAAGTTTAAAATTAGATTAATTATATCATTATTAATAATTATATTCCTTCATCTTTTTTTTCCCAATCATTTTCATTGTTGTCATTTGTCGCATAATCATTTCGTAGAGAAATTTGAGAAATTGGAAATAAAACATTGAAAGATTTGAATTTTAAATAAATTTTACCTTAACAGCAGGAATTTCTTTGGTTTTTTGCTCGAACAATTGCACTAATTTTTTGGCATCAATTTGTGGTAAATCAAGTTTATGCCAAAATGTTCCCTTATTCCGCAATGATGGTACCGGTGGTAGCTCAGCTTGCGCAGGTTTCCAGTGTAATTTCAGTGTTCCAGTTTTTGATACCGGTGGTACTAAAGGAAAAAACTTTTCCATGCTTTCAATTTTAATAATTTAGAATTAATTGAAGTTTTTTTTGAAAATTTTCATCAACAAGATTACTTACTACATTAATCCTAAATAGCATATACAACAAATCATTTTATGGAATTCAATTTTTTTTTTTTAGAAATGCTTACTTGGACTTGGATCACGATCTGTTTTATTTGAGCTAACATTTGGAGCAAGAAAAGGTGGTGGCGGAGGTGCTCCTGGTCCACCAGGTAATAAAGGTGGTGCTGGCGGTGGACCTCTTTCAGGTGCTAAAAATTTAATCAAATTTAATTGAATTAAATCAAAAATTATTATGAATTTTAAATTGATTTTGCATATCAAAATACAGCATTATTTTTTCCTTAAAAATAAGTAAGTGAAAATTAAAATATAAACATAGAATGGATTTTAAAAAAGGAAACTTAGAAATTAGGAAAACTTTTTGTCACCTACCAAAAAAAACATTTCATCAAGAATAAGATATGAAATAATGATAAGAAGTTTTAAATTTATTAAGAATTAAATTTCAAATTAATTTCAAATATGAAAAATTAAATTTCAAATATGAATAATTATTACCTGGTTGAATACCACTATTGTTAGCATTTGGAAATAAACCTTTCTCTTGCGCAATTGCTGCTAATCGAGCCATTACTAGAGGATCTTGCTCAAATTCATCTTTATGAAATTCCGAAAAATCCAAATCATTAATAATTAATGGTTTTGATTTGAAATTTTCAGCAGCCTAAAAAAGAAATATAGGTGTAAATGAGTAAATTCATTATATCTCTAAAAATAATTAAGCTTAATTAGCTTAATTAGCAATCGTTGATGAAAACAATTAATTTTTGTTATTTAGTAATTTTATTAAATTTTTATAAAATTAAAAATAAAATTTGTTTGCGGAAAAAAAAAACAAACCTTTTTCCATTGTATTTCCGCTTCATCTTGTTTTGGTTCAAATAATGCAGCATTTTGTTCCCGTTTAAGCGCACGACGACGTAATTGCGCCGCAAATGCATTACCACCTGCTGTAGGATCATCATCATCATCATCATCGATTACCTGTAATTAATTGGTTAAGCAGTATGAATTATGAAGTGTTTGTTTAAAATTTTTCAATACAAGGATAGAATTAAAATTAGATTTTTTTATTAACTTAGATCAGATTTAAAAAAAATTTAAAAAAAGCTGAAATTTAAAAAAAGCTAAAATTATATTTTTCATTTTTTAAAAAAAATTTCAAAAAAAAAAAACTGCCAGATAAAACGTATATTTCCCACCAAAATCATTTAGAAGATTGCATGAAAAATTTGAATGAAATTTTAAAATTCCATACCTTTGCTTTAGAGGGTGATATCCTTTTCGGTTCTGGCACTGGTTCCGGTTCTGGTTCTTTTTCAATCGAATCCGGAAATTCCATCGTTTTATTTTCGGTTGGTGAAAAAAAGTGTAGAAGGGAATGATGGAGGTGGTGCTCGAACCTAAAAAAAATTCGCAAATTGATTATTGTGCCGATTACTGTAAAAAAGGACCTTTGATTACTGTACCGATGACTGCAAAATTCGTTACTGTAAGAAAATCTGATCACTGTACCAGCAACTGGTTACTGTATCGATTATATAATATTAATTTTACCTATTATATTCAATCTTATTCAGCATTTTATCCTTCTCTTATCATACGCTCTTACTTTTGACGTATGTTTAGGTTATGCGTACGTTACATAATTTATACATTCATAGTATTTATAATATTATCTCTAATGTTTTTAAACTAATATAAATGTTTAATCCCTAAAAGATTGCTTTTCCTTTTTCAAAAATCGTTTAATCAACAATGGTTCATTATCTAATTAATTAAGATTACAAATTTAATCATTAATAAATCTTCTATCTTCAAAAAAAAAAGCAACAACAATAAAAAAAAGAACGCAAACCGGTTTTTCTTCAGGTTCCGTATTTTCATTATTCTCTGATTTTTTTTCAATCAATTTCATCGATGTCACCGAAGATTGTCTTATTGATGATTGTCCGCTCATCTCATTTACCAATACATTCTTGAAAGAGTACAGAATTGCTAAATTAAAAATGGAAAAAAAAAATTTTGCAATTCAATAATGAACAAGTTAAATTTCAGTATGTTTTTAGTTTTAAATTTTAATTTTTTTACTTTTAAATTTTTAATTAAATTTTAATTTTCTTTTTTAAAACTTTTTTCGATTAATTACACGATTTTTGCCTATTTCCGGGATGAAAGTTTACCACTAACTAACTGTATTATTATTTTTCGATCGTGATTCAATTTCTGAAACTTTTCTTCGCCATGGTGGTACTATTTTTGGTGTATCATCGATAATATCATTTGTACTACCATTAATACCATTAATAATTCTACCATCAGCATTTATTATTGGTCTGTAAATTTTGAAAAAAAAAAAATGCAACAATTGAATTAATTATTGGTATAAATAAAAATGATAAATTTTTGGGTAATTGTGCGGCAAAATTTAACTTTTTTTTTTTGAAATTTAACAAAATTTTTTTTGCGTTAAAAAAAAATTTAATTCTAAAACTTACAATTCAAATTTTTCAATATTATTATTTATAGAATTAATTTTATGAAAATTATAATGTTCTTGTTGCCGAGCTAATGATTCCTGATGTCGGCGACGCATTGCTGTTCGACGATCAACAACAATTGGTGATGTTGTTTGGTTTCTACAAAAATTCTAATATAAATGTAATTACAGGTAAAGATAATTAATTAGGCAAAGATTTATGCATAGACATCAAAAGGTAAACAAGCAGAAAAGCATACTATAAAGAACTATTGAATCTCAAAGGAGAAAAAAAAATGTTTTCATAATTCCAATTATAATTTAATTTCTTATCAAACTATTTCAGTAATAATTTAAATGTAAAAAGAGAAAGATAAATTTATTTTCAAAAAATAATATTTTAAATTTGTGTAAAAAAAAATCTATATTAAAAAAAAACTGGAATTGAAAATAAGCTTGGAAAAAAAATAAAAGAATTAACTAATTAACTGATTTCTAATTAATTATTATCATTTACTAATCACTGTTAATTATACAATCATTTTACCTCATTTTAACAAGAGGAAGATAAATTTGATTTTCAAAAATAATACTTTTAAATTTGTGTAAAAAAAATCTATATTAAAAAAAAATTGGAATTAAAAATAAGCTTGAAAGAAAAAAATAAAAGAATTAATTAACTAATTAACTGATTTTTAATTATTACCTCATTTTAACAACACTTTCATCACTACTTTCTGCTTCATCCTCTTGTTTGAGCACTTTTTCATATAATTTACATTGATCCTTGAGATCTTTATTACCAAGTTTTAACATATGTCGCATCGTATCTTCTAAACCTTGTGATTCCAATGAATCAACGAGATCATAATATGTATCCTTAAAATAAATTAATATAAAATTTAATAATTTAAAGTAAAAGAATGATAATTAAAAAAGAAAATTAATGATAAAATTGTTAATTTTCTATACTAATTATATCTCTATTTTTTATATAAAAACTACTAATTTTTCTTTCTAATTATATTTTTATTACTATTTTATACAATTTTCAATTTCCAATTTTCAATTTTCATCAAAAAATTCAAATAAAAAAAAAGAAGAAAAGAATGTTTGTCTAAGTTTATATTTCATATTTGACCTCCACAATGTTTTTTTTTTTTGACCTATATGCTATACTATTCAAATCCATGAATTATTAATTACCTGATCAGCGACACCATTTAATGTTTTGTTGATGACAGTCATACCGTAGGTAAGCATTTCAACATCACTTGCATCCTTTTCATTAAGTACCCTCATTAGTGCAAACCAATCAGGTCGATCTATCCATAAATAAAAAAAAAAATGTTAATTTCGAAAAAAAAAAAATTAGTTGGAAAAATTGAAAAAGATTGAAATATCGTCAAGAAAAATTGCAGATAAAAGTAAATCAATTAAGTTGACCAAAGAACAAAAAAAAAAAAAATACAATTAAATTGACCAAAGAATAAAAAAAAAAAATACAGTATGCCATGTATCAAACTTCTATCAACCTACATCAATATGCTATAAATTAGAAGAAATAAAAAAAAAGAAAAAAAGAACTACTATTAGCTTTGTCAACATTGGTGACAGCGGTCATTAGTAGTAGTGCATTATGATCGGTATATTCGATAAATACCAATAATAATTTTAATGCTGTTTTCACCACTAATCGATACTGAAATTAATTTAAATTATCAAATTGATGGAAATGAAAGGAAGCGATCATTTTCAGCTAAGCAAGGAAAAAGAAAGAAAGAAATCTTTTATTCCTTTTTTTTTTAAATCAACTTATGCTAAATTTTCTTTTTTTAGACGATTAAAATTGAACAGGAAGAGGAATTGAAAACGGATCAAAAAGAGGAATGAAATCGATCAGAATTGATCACTGAAATTGATCAGAAACAGGATTGGAAACGATCAGAAAGAAGATTGAAAACGGATCAAAAAGAGGAATGAAATCGATCAGAATTGATCACTGAAATTGATCAGAAAGAAGATTGAAAATGATCAGAAAGAGGACTGAAATTTACCAAGAAATGATCTAATTTTCATTTTTAAATGGTTGAAATTGATCATGACGATTTTTTTTTTCCATTTTTATTCCGGATAATTGCAATCAATTAGGAAGAAATCTAAATTTATTTTTAAACAAAGATTTAATTTTCATTTTTTAGATGACTGCAATCGATCAGGAAGATTTTTTGCTTCTCATTTTCATTTTTTGAATAAGTACAATCGATTAGGAGGAGGATTTAATTTTGATTTTTTGAATGATTTGAAATCGATCAAGAGATTTAATTTTGATTTTTTGAATGATTTGAAATCGATCAAGAAGAGATTTAATTTACATTAATGAAAAATTAAGTCGATCAGGAAGCGATATCAATCATTTTATCATCCGTTCGTCCCTTTATTGCATTTGAAAGAATTTAAAAGGCTTGAAAAAAAATTTCATTTTTAATTGCTCATTATTTTTCTTTAAACTTAAAACTAATACTGAAACATGTGAAAAATATTGAAAGATGACAATTTTGTTTAGGTGACAATTTTGCTTAAATCACAGTAATAATTGCTTCATTCATTTCCCAAAAAAAAAAAATTTTTAAACCATAAATTTTTGAGAGTATATTTTTGAAGTATCAATTAGATATTTTTAAGTATCAATTAGAGTAACATTTAACTACTTTAGAGTATCATTTAACATTTTAACTATCATTTCCTTTTTTCTAAGTATTATTTAGAAATATTTAAGCATTAATTAAATATTTACATTTACCTTTTTTAATTATCATTTAGAAATATTTAAGCATTAATTAAATATTTACTAAAAAATTTAAAATTTACTTATTTTTTAAAAATCTTTTCCAAGTTGTAATAATAATTTGATATTTCTAAGTATCAATTAGCGTATCATTTTAACTGTCATTTCCTTTTTTTCTAAGTATTATTTAGAAATATTCAAGTATTAATTAAATATTTCAAAAATAAACCCTTAAATTTTACTAAAAAA